TACTATTTTATTGTTATTTATTTAATTATTAATATTTAACTATTAATGTTATTAGTTCATATGTACGTGTGTGTGTTTACATTGTATCTATATACATACACACATACATTCATAGATACATGACATACAGCTACAAAGCAGTTTCCTACTGAGGGCATCTGAATTTTAAAATGCCATTTTGCAGTTTACTTCATCTGAATAGTTTTGTTCATTTAGAAAAGTGCAGAATTCCAGCTATTTCACTGTTTTCCTTTTCTTTTGCTTTTTTTCTGTTCTGTCTTATTCCAGACAAGAACATGCTTTTAAATACAGACACTTTTTGTATTACAAACAAAATAATTGTTGTGTATTGTGAACAGAGACTGTGCCTTCACTTTTTTTTTCTTACTGTGTAAACCATGTTTCCTTTTGTAGGGGATTTCATAGCAATAACATCAAGTCAATACCTGAGCGTGCATTTGTGGGTAATCCATCACTTATTACAATGTAAGTGATTAGAGTCTTTTCAATGACTCTTCTTATTAGAGAACATGGAACTAAGTATTGTATTTGTGGCTAATTTAAAATAGCTCTCCTTGTGAGCACACTGTGTAGCACATCATTATACATGCAAACAAGCTGCTATCTTTCCAGCTTTATGGAAAGAATGGCAGTTTGCACGCCCTCTTTAAGGGAAGCGAGTAGTGGTCTCTGACCTTTGACCTTTTATTTGAACTATTTCTTCTAAGTCTCATAGCATTACTGGCAATGTAGAAGCTAGCAAAAATTACTCTTGATGGATTCCAGTCTGAGTTCCCATTGTCTTACATGAGAATGCATTTAATGGGCAAACCTCAAAATAAGAAATTGTAAAATAAATGTAAGAAAAATAGTATCTCATCTTGAGCAGTATTATTCTATGAGCAAAAGCAGCATGACTTCAAAAGTGCAAGGGAACCTCTTCTGAGTAGGTGAAGTTCTGACTTCTTCACCTGCTAACCTTAAATTTGTCTCAGGTCTTAACAAACTTCATATTTGGATTTCTGTCTTAGCAAACCTGGGAGGAAGAGGGAATATTTTGTTGACTGGTTTCTGGCTTTAAAACCAAGAAAACAATGACCACTTGAATATTTAAAATGTGAAATGTGATTGATGGGTATAGATTACTGGGTGAGAAAAGCCCAGAGGTGCACCTCTGCTACAACCAGAGGTGCACAGTCTGTGATTTATCATAGAGAGTTTACTCATTTGCTTATAGCATAATCATGTACTATATTTAGAGTTTCTTAAAATATAAAATGTCTTTTTATCCTGTTTTTGCAGACATTTTTATGATAACCCTATCCAGCTTGTTGGAAAATCTGCTTTTCAACACTTACCAGAACTCAGAACTCTGTATGTATTTACTTTGTTAATTGTCTTTATATGCTGCAATATTAGAGTTGTCCCACAGTTCACTCACCACAATTGCATTGAAATGATGTTTTTAAATTCTAGGACTTTAAATGGTGCATCACAGATAACAGAGTTTCCTGATCTGACAGGGACTACAAGTCTGGAGAGTTTGTAAGTGCCAGAGAAGTATTTTTGCTTTGTTTTATTTTTTTGGATACTGACTTATTCTAAAGAATGTTCTAAGAAATATATTTGTTTTGCAATCTTTGAAAAGTAATCTTTTTTTTTTTTTTTTTTAATAAATACTTTCAACAGGACACTCACAGGAGCACAGATCACCTCTCTCCCCATATCAGCTTGTGACCAGTTACCTAATCTCCAAGTGCTGTACGTTTCAGTAAGATTATTAACATTACATTACTGCAAGAGATTAATGGACAAATGAAATCATTATGATTTCAAAATTACCCAATTACTGCTATTTCTGTGTATCACATTACTTCTTAGGAATTCAGCTCAGGGAGCAGGCCCCCGTGTTACTCAAAAAGTTCACAACTCACTTACCAGTCAGGATTTCCCATACATTGCTGAAAAAGATAATTACTTTGCATATTTTTAGGAAAGGGGAAAATGGTTCTTGATTTTGTTTAAAAAACATCAGAACTACCTTGTTTTCATTCATTCTGTTTCTCCTACAGTAGTCTGGGGTTTTTTTCCTCACTGAGGCAGATAATTCAATGAAGCAAATGGAAAATATAACTGAGTAAGGAGTGCAGTTTTGAGTCCTTGTTTTGCTCCTCTTTTAGTTTCTTTTCCAACCAGACATAAGTAGCTGATTGAAATTTTAAAAAACTGTTCCTTGGCATAGTTGGGGCATATTTTTTGTACTAAATATTCAGTATTATTTTAGCTTGGAAATTTCCTTGGAGTTTGTTTAATCACTACCAAAAGTAATCATTGTGTCCACTTCTTTGAAAATGAGCCAACAGCACTTTCCTCGATGTATTACATCACTGGGAATGTATTTGGTATTAGTTCTCTGGCCAACATTGAAATAGCTCTAATTATAACACATTATTTGAATACCAGCATGGATGTAATGAACATTGCCAGAAAAAATTTAGTTTTAGTTGATGGACTCAATATAATCATTTCCAGAATGATAAAAGACAGAAACAGAGTCTGTTGCCGGAAGAAAGTCTGCACACAGACTTAAGTTTAAATATGTCCTGTATTATTCAAAAACAATAAATAATCTCAAAACAGAAGGCAAATAAATACTGTAGAAATTAATAAATTGTACAGTACGTAGTAGGAATGTCCATTGGAAATTCGCATTTTTTAATTTTTGAGTATCACCCTGCATTATTAGAGGTGATATTTAAAAGGCTGGGGAACTAATTTAACAGCAATTTCATGTACTCAGAGTTGCTCTTCCCCCACTGCCATCAGATTGGAATGAACCTGCCAAGCCCATATTTAGGTTTGCACAGTAGTTTTGCTTGTGCCATGAAGTATAATGGTGCACTGAACTCTACAAGTTAGGTTGGAGACAGCGATCTTGAAGGGGTTTCCTAGCTCAGATACTGGCACAAACACTACCAGCGCAATCACTGCTTTGAAAGACAATTTGTGCATCCTACCTAGCCACCAATACTTCCAAATGTGGATTAATGTACAGGGAGGCTTCCTGAGTGTCTGTGCACCTGCTGTAAGGGTGTATGTGAGAACACGGTCCCAGCGGTCCTCAAGAAACTACCTTCAGCACAGTTGGATATGCACCTCTACATGGGAACCAAAACCACTTGTCCTCTGCTGCTGTCAAGAGCCTTGTGTATTAACAAAGTGGGGAAAAAGTCCTTAAAAATAACAAGTGAAATATTTCCTGAAGCTCTAACAGAAACTGAGAGGAGAAGGATTTCGGGTTTGTTTTGATTTCTTTTTTCTGTGTGTGAAGAGGGAAGCATCAGTATGTACAAAATTCAAGCTGACAACATATTTTTAAGGAGACCTAAGTCACAAATCTGTGCATGACAAAATAGCCACGATCTGCCAGACATGAAGGATTTTGGGTTTGTTTTGTTTTCTTTTTTCTGTGTGTGAAGAGGGAGCATCAGTATGTACAAAATTCAAGCTGACAACATATTTTTAAGGAGACCTAAGTCACAAATCTGTGCATGACAAAATAGCCACGATCTGCCAGACATACCAAGCATCTTCTACCTTGGCCTAAAAGCCTCCAGCTCACTTGAATTCTCCACTGTCATGTCAGATTTGGACCACAGAGTACCTGTGAAAAATATAAAAACAGAGGTCATAATCTTCCCTGCTGTAACAAAAAATATGCAATATTGATGGTAGCCTTTGTGCATAGTAGAAGCACAGTAGAGTATCTTAAAAACACACACAGTCATTACTTGCACCACTTCCAAAAATCAAATATAGAGTAGTCTAAATACCCCTGTTGGAATAGTAACAGTCAAAATAAAATTTTACCAAGGAAGTAAATGGGTGGAGATGAACCAGTTTTAAAGAATTTGAAACAGGAATGAAAAGAGATTCCTCTTTTACATGATAATACTGGATAACTGTGGGAAAGGACATTTTTCCTAGTTATAGGCATAAGCTTTTTTTCTATATTCTTTTCACTAGAAAATTTCCCATTCAGTTTTCCCTGAGCAACATGTATATATAGGATGAGACTGTTGGGTGGTGGGGGTGGGTGTTTGGTTCCTTTTTTTTTTCCCCTCAAATTTCTGCAAATTGCCTGGGCTTGGTTTTGATTAGTTCTATTATACTATAAATCAGTCCAGATGTTTTAGTTATTCTGTAATTTGTTGAGTTTTGGCTCAAGTCTTTTTAAGGTTTTTTTTCCCCCATGTAGTGATTGATTTCAAAGTTAGTTCCAATATTTTTTTAACCATTTCCCTCAGTTAGAAGATACAACAGTCTGAGGAATTGGAGACAACAGTGCTTAATTAAAAGTGCAGAATGGAAAGCTGATTGCAGTCCATTGTGATTAATAGCAGAAAAATACAGGATCTTCTCTGGAAAAATATGACTATATTTATTTAGTAGATTATTTTAAATGGTTTAAATATTTGTTGGAATTTAAACATGATGAATATGAAGTCTGTGATGTAAATCCAATATTCCCTATGAGCAGATGGCCAATATAGTTACTGTAAAACACTCAGCAGAAGTCTACGCTTCAGGCAGGAAATCTTCGGACAATGCAAGGAATTTGCAAATGTAGGATATGGAGTTAATACATCTTGCCTTTTCCCCTCCTCTCTCCTCCCTAGTTAGAAATCAAAATCTGACAGATGATAAGTGAGTTTGCACATTTCTTCTGTGAGTGTGGATAAAAACAAGTTATTTTAAATTGAGCATGAAGATAGACAATGAAAGATCTTTTTCTTATAATGTTACTTTGATGTTAATCTTTCTTTTCTTGTATATTACAGGGATCTGTCTTATAACCTGCTGGAAGATTTACCCTGTTTTACTGCATGTAAAAAACTCCAAAAAATGTAAGCGTCAAACTACCCTAAAACGTCTAAAAAGAAGCATCTATATACAAATGTGTTTGAGCATCATTAATTTGATTATTGCTGGCCAATTTGACATATCCCAAATACATAGCCTTACACTATATTGAAGTGGATCAGAAACACAATCTAAAACACCCTGAAGAGTCCTCCAAGTGCCTTTGAAACTGAGGAGATTCTTATTGCTATTTCAGTGACTTGCATCACAATGAAATCGGTGAAATCAAAGCAGACACGTTTCGGCACCTGGCTGCTCTTCGGTCTCTGTGAGTACAGCCCTAACAGCCATTCACCCATGCGGTATATACTGTCTGCTTGCTATATGCCCTAAAACATCCTTGTTTCTGTTTTTCCTCACTTTGATCATTCACCCATTAGGTCATAACTGTAAAAGGAGAGTAAACATTGGGAAGTTTCGCATCTGCAGCAATTAATTCAAAGATGTATACTTCTAGCTATAAAAGCTGTTACTTCTAAATGTTTTTAATGGAGGTGGAGAGAGATACTGATCCAGAGCTGGTATCTGTTGGCAGGTTCACATAATAGTCAGCTCTAGGGAGCATGAAATCTTTTTATAGAGAACAGTGTCTTAAGAAATAGAGTCCAGTCATGTGCGGGTTTCTGGTTTTCACACAGACGCCTGTGCTAGCAGAGTAATTTTGTCAAGAAATTATTCATGGTTGTAAGTTTTCCCAGGATCAAACCCATACATTTTTTTAAGAGTTGCTTTCAGTCTTTTTGATTTTTCAGGGGCGGTGAAGATTGAGATTAGGAAGTTAAGCCTATTGACAATGGATTTGCTGTTCTTAGTCACGTCATGAGGACCTCTTAGTCCATATACCCCACCCTTCTTTCTGCTGCCTTAGGAAGCTGTGAAGCAGACTGAAAATAACTGCCTTAGACTGTAGAAGGCATTAAGACATTTTAAGAAAGTTGTCAGTTTAATAACTAACACCAGTAACTGACCAACATAATTTAAAAATGGAAAAAAAGATTTTCCACTATGAGATATGTAGAAGCTTATTGAAAATATTTGCATGTAATTAATAGCTTTTTTATATTTAGGCCTGCTAATCAAGTGTATGAAAACTTCCATATTCACTCAGTGGGTATGTAATTTTCCACTCACTTTTCTTGTAGGGATTTAGCTTGGAACAAAATTAAAACTATTCACCCCAATGCCTTCTCCTCTTTGCCATCTCTGATCAAACTGTAAGTATTTGTGTATATTTTACACTCAAATTTTCACATTTTTCTTGCAAGAGCATACAAAAATTTAATAACTTGGTGTCCCAGTAGAAATTGAGGCTTTTTCTATTATAATCTTCTGGTCTGTTGAATCCATATCTACATGCCTACTTTCTTGTACTTCCCCAGTTCCCATAGGTATTATGGCAAAGCTGCATACAACACTGTGTAATCAGAGTGACTTGGGGTCCATGAAGAATATCAGGCATCTGCCTTTCTTCATTCAATTTGTTAGCAGTTTAGTCTGTTGTAGCGGTGGGGAATATTTCCTATTAGTGGTGTTTCAGGACTAAGGAATTGGATTAAAAAGTAAGAAACATTTTCTAGCGTACGACTATATTTCATCATTCCTCATTTCATGGAATAGTTTTTCTTCTTGGTAAGTTCAGCCAGAGTACTTAGTCGTCAAAACATCAGCAGCCAATTTTGCAGGCCTTGTTCACAAGCACTCCTGAGTCCCTACTAACTTTTTCCTACTTCCCACTGTCATTGTAATGCCTCTTTAAGGTGAATCCCTGAGCATTGGGTGTATGGGGAAGATATGAAAAAAAATCCTTCTGGAGTCATCCTGCTGCATGGTTGTCACAAAGATACACTGCTGGGCATTTGCCCACAGGTAATCCAGTAGCTGCTGGGAAACCTAAATTTGGAAAGTGGTATTCATTTCAATGTGCAAAGCCTCCTCTCTGAATGGTGCACTGAAAAATGTCCATAAAGACAATATTGTCTATGACATCCCTTTTGGGGCCCTCCTGAGAACCTTCCTACTTTGTGAGGTAGGCCATAAGTTGTAGCTTTGGTCAATAGCATAGAACAGTCGGAGAGGGTTAAAGAAAAAAGCCCTTTAACATACACAGTAACACAGTGTACAAGTGTTTCCTGAAACATGGTCATTTTTACGATTGCAGTAGGACTAGAATTTCACCTTTGGTATTTAACCGTGTTGTGAGCAAGAGGACACACACTAAACCAGATAGGTAGAACACCAGTCCATCAACATACCTTATTTTATATCTAGCCCTTAGATTTCAGTAGATAGTCCAAGAGACAGGAACTTTGCTCTTCAGCCTTGGGCATCAAAGCATTTTGGCAGCACCAGACTCCCCTTCTTCCTCCTTCTTGACTGTTGACCGTCTTAAGTATTGCAGCGTACATAATTGTGAGGAGGACTGAAAAGGCTCATAGAGTCAATGGAAGGGAGAGGGAGAAATAGAGAACAGAATACCTCTTGGCTTTCCCTCCTTTGATTACTTTACTGTCTGTCCTTGATCACTGTCACTTTTTTGTTCACCTGTTTTACTTCCCCCAATTTACATATCCCTGTTCATCTGTGCTGGTTTCCCTCAGGTCCTCAGGCAAACGTCAGCTTAGAACTGTCACTTTCATCTGCTCCAGCTGGGACCCGTCCTATCCTGAAACACACGTCTTCCCCGTACACCTGGCATGTTCCCTGTGGAGCTTTCAGGGCAGCTGTGCCCTCTAGCATCCCACTGAATCTTTTAAACTGTGGGAAGCTCTTCTGGTACTGGCTCCCTTTAATTCAAACAGTCTAATGAACAGGTTGTAAATTCATTTGCTAGTCCCAAAACTGGCACTATGAATGTTTGGAGTCAAAATTTGGCAACAGAGACTTAGCTAACTACTAGATATTACTGTTAGCTTTCTGCTAGATGCATAGGTGCATACTCCTGAGTGGTGCTGCAGCTTTGCTCTGCTGACTGGGTTCTCTGTTTAATGCAGTAGTTTCTGATGGAGTTAGAGAAGTCTGACCTGTTTTTCCAATGTGACACTTCTAGTGCTGAATCAAAAAAAAGAAAACCTGTAAGCTGATTTTTATTTGCTGTTATGCAGGGATGTGTCATCCAACCTTTTGTCCTCTTTTCCTGTGACGGGACTACATGGTTTAACTCATTTAAAATTAACAGGAAATCATGCCCTACAAAGTTTGATATCATCTGAAAATTTTCCAGAACTCAAGTGAGTATATCATTAAAACTAATAAGCCACATTTGTGTTCATGTGCAATGGAAGGTGTGTCAGTGTGTAACACATGTTACTTCGTATTGTCAGTCTTTGATCTGTGCTATTAAAACTAAAGCAAATATGATAAAAATGATAGACTTCTTTTATTATGCTCACTTTTAACTGAAGAAACTACGAAGGGTTTTGAAATATTAACCCCAGTACTTGCTTAATACAAGCCACATCTGCTTCCTGGTGATATGTTTCAAAAGCTGTTAAAACAATATTGCTAGCAGCTTAGTGGTATGTCCTTCTTCTACTGGATTGTGCTTACAGAACTTCCATTATATTTAATGAGAACACAGCAAATATCAAGGGAAGAATATACTCCTGAAGTTCCAAAATATTTGATCTCTTTTGTTTGAACATGTTTTTTGTGTAATCTTTTGATTAAGATTCAGATAATACTTTGCCATTATTACTAAAACATTTTGACGCTAGTAATTTTCTGCTGGATGCTCTGTGGTACAGGAAGGAAATGTTCTCGAGAGATCATTTGCAGCTCTGCTAGTCACTGAATGACCATAGAGAAATCACAGTAAACAGAGTTTTGCCTCTGTCTTCAGGGTATTTGGGAGTGTCTCCTAACTATCCCTTGATTTTTATATTTTAATTAGACAATGCCAAGTGCAACATATATTTTTTCCATGTTTTGTTGTAAAAGGTTTGATATCATAAAATTTGAAACATTTAAACAGTGTGCACATAGTTACAGAATCACAGAATGGTTGAGATTGGAAGGGACCTCTGGAGCTCCTGTGGTCCAACTCCCCCTGCTCAAGCAGGGTCATCTGGAGCCAGTTGCCCGGGACCATGTCCAGAGAGCTTTTGAGTATTTCCAAGGATGGAGGCTCCATTGTTATGTCTTCACTAGATTTGCCTTTTGCACTGGAAAAGTCCCAGGAGTCCTAGCAGACAGATAAGTCAAGGAGATGTTACCACTAACGAAAAGGACTGGAGTGTTTGGAGTTACCAGTAAGGGAGTCATGACTAGAAGTGCGGAGCTGAGTATACCACTGGAGGGATCCACACTAGAACACTTCTATGATAGCATGTTAATACAAACTGAGAGAAAAGCTGCAAGAAAATAGTTCCGAGGTTAGGAAAAAATTCCTTAAAAGTCGTAATAAGCCCAGTATTGTAGTTTGCCACAGAGGAAACTGGGCAGTGACTTCATCACAGTGTATGAAACTACTTTATAGCATAAACTTTCAACATACTAGAAACCTTATGCCTCTTTTACACTAGAGACCTTGAGATGGATCTCAGAGGTCAAGAAGCAAGTACCGTAAGAAATCATGAATGGTTGAGACTGAGCTTCACCATAGTTTTTATTCTCTCACTGATTTTGCCCACATGTTGAGGCAGGTGACGATTCTAAAATATCTGAAGGTTTTTTAAAAGAATGTAAACACAAGAAAATTGATTACTCCAACCTAGCAAATATATAGTGATGTATATACCATGGCCTAGAAGCGTAATAGCTGCTGCAGTAGTCCTAGAATACTCCACTATTCAACTGATTTATGTGCAACTAAGATTTTTTTAATTCTTTTATCAAAATATCTTTATATTTTTATCTTTATATGATTTTTCCAACCATAAGCTTATATACATTGCTGAGATGCAACTACAGTGTGTTTAGTCTGGGTACGTAGTTAACAAGGATGTGTCAGACAATAGCTTAAGTCTTAAAAAAGGTATAAGAAGTATGATTAATATATCTAGAGTTGATTAACATCTGTAAGAACAAATTATACCCAGTCAGGAGAAAATGGGGTAAAATCCTGACCTGGAGTCTGCAGGACTTTGACCATAAATCAAAATGAGGCAAAAACTTCACACAAGATCACTGCACAGACAATGCATGAAGCACTAAATTTGAACAAAGATCTAAAACAAAATGAAATTTCACCCTTTGTGATTGTTGGAACTAGACACTGGTTACAACATTAAAGACAAATTCCTGTATAAAAGCTTCCTGCTCATCTAAATGGGTCATTGCTGTTCCATACACAGACACATCAAAGAACTGAGCATCCTCTGCTCCACCTTCAGCAACGGCACGAGAACGCTCTACAGAGCTAAGCCCAGCCTGCTATGGCAAGCTTTGAGGAAGTAAAGTCAGGCTGCCAGGCACTCCTTCCTTCTTTATCTGATGCTTTGATTCAGCGCTGTAAAGAACTCTGTGATTTGCTCTGTTCATCATAACTGTGCCTTCCCACTCACCATCAACCCCACACCTTTGCGAGGCGGAAAAAGACCTTGTGTTCTCTGCTGCTTAATCTAAAAACAGAAAAAAGAGGCATTCCTTGCTGCAGGAAAAAAATTATCAAGGATACAGATACCATCAGTAAGATAAGCAGTATATAAAAATAAATTCAGTTAGTGTTTCTAAAAGAGTTTAATTTGACAAAGTCCAAATCTAATTACCCACATCAAATAAGCGCATAAGCACCAGCTGTAAAAAGGACTGCTTCCAGCACTGCATGGCTGACAGTTGCTTGCTTTTTATTATTTTTTTTTTGTGAAATGTACCTTTTGCGAGAAAGAAATTCCTCTGTCACCACAAAGAGCTGATACTAAATTGCTCTGCATTGCAAAATAGGTTTGGTCCTCTGTGTTCTGCGTCCCAGTCATTCTGTGCAGTTAGGTTTAGCACACAGATTCAGAAGCATTTGCCAATTTGAGGCCCGTGTGTATGGTTTAGTAACCCAGGGGAAGAAAAAAAGAACAAAACTCTTCAGGTTGAGGAAGCAATGCTAGAAAGATCTAAAGAGAGGATAGGAAATGGGAGTCTTGCTCTTTAAAGATAATTTAAAAGCAGTGGGGTTTTTTTAGCTACTTCATCTATGTGGTGGACCAGTACAATGTAAGAGGTCCACATTTCCAGTGTATGCCAGGCCATCAGACTGGTAGCACCACAATAGCATCTGGAAATCTGTCATTATTAAGCACATAGAGCTGTTTGGATAACCAGAGAATACATTTCTGTTAGTCTCTTGAGCCTAAAATATCCACTAAGTGTTCATTTCCCTAGCTGTATCAGTGTCTTCCAAAAGGTCTGAAGCCACAAGTTGCAGTCATCACCTTGCAGAAGTTTCTTTTGATAATTTTTGTTGTTGTTTGTGGGGATTTTTTTCAGAAAAGGGACATTTCTGGTTGGGGATTGGGATTGTTTTTAGCCCAGGTGAGTAGCTATGGATTAGTCTAGTAATCTATGGGTTTAATAATAGTTCATTGAAGAAGGGCTTCTGGGAAATGTGTTCAAAAAAAGTTTAATCGAGATAATCTCCTTATTTTAAAAGATGGCATGCACAGAAATGAGTTAGAAATTAAATATTTAAATCTGCTGGCATCAGGTTGCTTGATAGTTAGATCTTGTTTATCTTAAACTTTTATTGAAGTACCTTAAAAATACCTTATGTAGCTTTTTGTATTGGGTACAAGGGTACAGATTATTGTTGCTAATTCCCAACAGAAATGTAAGTATAGAGAATCTAAATGCCCCAAAATGCACTAATTTAAAAATCACTTTAGAGCTTAAGATTCCATTTGTCCCCCCTTGTACCAGACTTTTGGCTAGCGCACAAGTTTAAGTCCTGTTGGCACTGGGCCTGATCCAGACTGATTTCTTTGCAGATTTCCCAGGGGGTTAGAGGTGACTTGGAATGCTCATTATGTTAATTTACATGATTAACCTGTTGAAAGTAATCTGATAGGAGGATCTAGTTCTATTTTGTTTCTTTTAAGTCAGAATAACTTCTAATCACCTCTTTATCTTTGAATTTTTTGGTTTATTGGGCTTTTGGAATTAAGGGGAGTTGTTAGGTTTTACTGTGTACTATTGGCGAACTGTGCAAATTAAATATTTCTGCTTCCAAAGCATAAAATGTATCTAAGGAATAGAAGAAGTAGTCTATAGAACTTGAATATATGTAGTTCTTCCATGCTACCCCAGAATTTGCACATCCTCAAAGGAATTAAATTCAAAACATTCCAGAAATGAGCGATTTTCTGACAAAAGAAACCCTGAAAATGACTTAAACTCTCAGACCTGTACTCAGCTATGTGCTAGGAGTACCAGTGATCATAAAAGAGTTAGGAATGAGCATCCAGTGTCCTACAATGACGGTGCTCATTTCTAAGATGACTAATAAGGTAAAACCTTTTCGTCAGTGACATCTGCTTTCACACACCGAACCTTTCTGATTCATTCACCTTTTGATTTAGAACACTGCTTTCTTGATCTGTGCACAAAAGACAATCTCCTTTTTGCAATCTTACTGCAAAAAGAGATGGAAAGAGATGGATAAAGTTTGAATTCCAAAAAATCTCATTGTCCCTAAACTGGAGAAATTACATTTGGGAAGTGATGTTTTGGTTTTGCCTGTTAGGCAAGTAGATGCAGTTGTGATCTTTGGATCTGCTTTTTTAAAAGAAACTATTAAGAAAGTAACATGGAGGAACTGTTGAATTACACTGTAAAATCATTCAAAATCATAAAATAGAAATACAGCTGTAAGAGTAATATTGACTCAATGGCAAGGCACATGTCTCCCACTTCCATATCCCCCAGGAAAATGCATAAGAAAAATTCGTTGTGTCTTTACTAAAATTAGCCTAGAAATCATCTGCATTTCTGATGTGGAATTTTATTTGTGAGTCCTCATTTTGTGTTATCGTGACTGATTTTTACCCATAGATGTTTTTACTTTCACTCATGGTTATTTCAAGAAATTCCTTTGTGCTAACAGTAGAGGAGCAGTACAATCCGGTAACTGGTGCTAAACCGGTATCATGGCATGTTTCCTTATTCTTCTACAGGGTCATGGAAATGCCTTATGCTTATCAGTGCTGTGCCTTTGGAGCTTGCGAGAGCCACTACAAAATCTCCAGCCAATGGAACAAAGATGAGAATAGCAGCATTGACGATTTTCACAGGAAGGATGCTGGGTTGTTACAAATTCAAGGTAATCGTCATCTCTAGCTTTTAAATCGACCTGAAGGCTGTGAGCAGCCTGTGATGTTAAACAAATCCAATACTCTTTTACAGTCACAGCGGCAGCCTCTCCCCCTCTCTTGCCCGATAATATGTTATTCAAGCATTCCTATGCTTAGCAAACTGTTTTTTTTCAGGTCTGCCTTTGAAAAATCTCGCTCACTCATCTTTCCGTCCAAATAATAACTATAATAATGTGGGAAGTGAAATCTTCCTTTTATGTGAAAGACAGGGAAGTGGTGCTGGTATGTAATCCCATACAAGAGCAGGCCAGCAAAGATCTAGTTTCTTGCCAGCCTTGGAAGCAGCAACGCATCCTTGGCTCTCCTGCTGCCCACATGCTTCAGGAGGAGTCACAGAGCTTATGTGGCTGCTTCAGCATAGCTGCCGGTACTTTTTCCCAGCACTTCCTGGGTACCAGAGAGTGCTTCTGCTCTCCAGGACAGAAGACTACTGTATTTTTCTTCCCCTTCAGAACAAGGTCTGTTACTTGACCTGTTACCTGTTACGTAGGTGCACACATTAATGTTATACCATCCTGCTGCTTTCTGTGCTATCTCTGCTCCTGCAAACCAGTAAGTTGCAGAGTTCAGGACTAGCCCCAGTGAGAACAGAGTCAAGAATATGTGGTAGAGCGATGACGTAAGAAACACAGAAAAACCTGGATTAATTCTTAGTAGCCAGGCACAGCAGGAGAATTCATATTTTAAACTCCTTCCTAGGCAGTCATCACATTGCAAATTGAATAATAGAGAATGTACCTGTAAGTGATTATTTTCAGAGAAGTGATGACGCCAACTTTTTAAATAATCCCTAGTACAGTAATTCAAAACCAAGTAGGCATACATCTGCTTCTGCTCACAGCTTGGCAGGCAAAGGGACAAGACCAGGCCTTAAATACCACAGACATTTTTGCAATTTGTACTAAAAGAAGTTTTCCTGAAAATTGCAGTATCAAATCTGGGTATTTTTTCCCCCACAGATGAGCGTGACTTTGAAGATTTTTTTCTTGACTTTGAAGAAGATTTGAAAGCTCATCATTCAGTGCAATGCTCACCTTCTCCAGGTATGAAACTGCCAGACAGATAGGAATCCAAGCACAGTATTACCAGATATTCTAGATGCAGAACAAACTCTGAATCTGACACTAGGACACTAGCCTGACATTTTGCAGTAATTTGATGAGATTAATACAAATACATTGCATAATAATACAAAATTTTGCACTGAAGTCCAAAAAACTATTCAGCTACTAAATTCATCTATGAGTGTAACAAAAGTTTTCCCCAGTCCTCAAGCAGATCCTCACTCCGGGCCCCTTTTCACAGGAATTGATCCCCTTATCAAGGGAATGAGAGAGCAAAGACACAGATGATAAAGGGGAGCAGAATCTTTGCTCACTCAGTCATTTGCAAAGCTAAAGCAATTCTTCTGAACTTCACAGAATTATTCTACACTTGAGCTCCTTCAACAACACACATTTTAGTCCAACGTCTAGGAAATACCAAACACTACTGTACTGATGTACACAGTCCATCACAAAGGACCCCCAACACTGTCATTTTCTTTATAGAATAGTGCATCCCTGGCTTCGTAGTGTGGCAGAAAGGAAAAAGAAATACATCAATTGAATTGCAAAGCTACAGGCCACCAGTTCCACTGAAAGTTTCCTTTAAGGCAAGGAAAGAAATATGTCTTTGGAAGGTCACTTCTAGCTTTAACAGCCATGGCCATAAGTTTTGCTTGCCTAATTCAGCAAACATTTTCTCTAGCCATTCTTTCATCATGAAACATGAACAAAAAACCTCAAGTGACAACTAGTACTTCAGCATTCATTCCAAGTCAGATTCTTGTTTGTAACAGCAAATAATATTTTTTTTTTAATTATGTAAAGAGGAATAGAAAAGGCAGGAAGCCAAAGAATTTAGAACCATTTGACCATCATTTATTCTCCAATGGCCTATATATAACTAGAGTTCACAAAAACATCACTGTCTTCAAGGTAAGTTATCACCAGACCCAAGAGAAAATTTAGCTTCCGTGCTGATGTTTCAAATGGTATCTTAGAAAAACTTGCAAACTGACACCATAAATGCTTATGCCTACTTGATGGCAACAGTCATATAGAGCGCATCTCAGCTGCGGGGTTTGTGTCTTCATGGAGAAGCACAGACCACTGTGCAGGACTTGCTTTGACAGAGCATAGCTGGCTCGTACCAACATAAATAATGTTTCTCAGACTGCAGAGCGTTCAGCTTCAACCACACAGCATATGCACCTCAATTCTATGAGAATACACAGGAGGCTTCAATCATAATGACCTGACTTCAGCCACAGGTCAGCAGAGGTCCCTCCAAAAAGGCAGCACTTCCAAATGCAAAGGCAGCTTCAATTTTCTTAGACTGTATAATGACATAAGGTAGCCAAAGTGCATCTGTCCATATCCATTACATCACACTTCACTAGGACTCATTAGCAGTCCTAGTTCAGAGAGAGGTATCTTTTTCAGCTTTTTTCACACACTTGACAAACATCACAGCATTTCTTGAAACTACATACTGGACATTCACATTGCACTTGTACTACTAGGAACAAAAGAAACCCATAGACTATTCGGGTTGAGGGACAAAGACTCATGCACACCAGTAATGCAGCATGCCTTTCGCAGCATGCCACCAAAGTCTCAGATTACTCCAAAGGGCGTATTTCCAGCTCCCTTTTTGGAGTGCAATTCGCTGGTTGGCTGTGCTGAGAACCAGCAAGAAGCATGAAATTTAATGTCTTAGAAAGTACAAAATTATTTCTTAGCTTACATGGGTTTCCCTTGCCCTTTTTATTTTGTCATTTCAGGTCCCTTCAAACCATGTGACCATCTGTTTGGTAGCTGGCTGATCAGAATTGGAGTGTGGACCATAGTGGGTTTGACCTTTATTTGCAATGCACTGGTGTCTGCTACAGTTTTCAGATCTCCATTGTATATGTCCTCCATAAAACTTTTGATCGGTTTAATAGCTGTTGTAAATGCCTTGATGGGGCTGGCCAGTGGAGTACTGGCTAGCGTGGATGCATCAACTTTTGGTAGCTTTGCTCAGTACGGAGCACAGTGGGAAAGTGGAATTGGTTGCCAAATAACTGGCCTTCTCTCTATTTTTGCTTCGGAGGCTTCCATTTTCCTCCTTACCCTAGCTGCACTTGAACGTGCATTCTCTGTAAAGCATGCTACAAAGTTTGAAACAAAATCCTCCATTGCTAGTGTAAAAATTGCCGTTTTCTTTTGCTTTATGTTGGCACTCATCATTGCAGTGATACCACTCCTCACTGGGAGTGAGTATGGGATTTCTCCGCTTTGTTTACCACTACCATTTGGAGAACCCACTGCTATGGGCTACATGGTAGCACTGGTATTGCTGAACTCCCTTTGTTTTCTGGTAATGACTATTGCTTATACAAAGCTCTACTGTAGTTTAGAAAAGGGAGAACTAGACAACATTTGGGATTGCTCTATGGTCAAACATATAGCCTTGCTACTTTTTACTAATTGCATTCTTTATTGCCCTGTGGCCTTCTTATCTTTTTCCTCCTTACTAAACCTCACTTTTATCAGCCCAGAAGTGATTAAGTCAATATTGCTAGTGATTGTCCCACTGCCGGCATGTCTAAACCCACTCCTTTACATACTTTTCAACCCACACTTTAAGGAGGATTTGGGAAGTCTGCGAAAGCAGACTTTGTTATGGAGGAGATCAAAACATGCTAGTCTGATATCTGTGAATTCAGAAGACATAGAAAAACAATCTTGTGACTCAACACAAGCATTGGTAACCTTCACAAGTGCCAGCATATCATATGATATGCCTACCAGCAGTTCACTAATGCCATCGTCTTACCAAATGACAGAAAGCTGCAATCTTTCCTCAGTTGCGTTTGTTCCATGTCACTAGTTTCAGTGGCAGTACAGAAAATATCTGTGTTTACAAAATTTTTCATCCTGAAAGTAAGTATGGATGTGTGCATACAAGCTAGAGAGTGCCTCTGAATTGTTGTTACACACATTAGAAAGCAGACAATGACAAAACTTGCAGCAGGCTGAAAATCCAATACTTGAGCCTTCTCAGCCTGCTTCCACAATGCTGGGATGAAGAGAGAAACTGAAAGCTGCTGCAGTTTGTGCAGTTGTATCAGCTGCTCTCTTTTAAAGTAGCACTACTCAGAAAGGGCATCAGTCGGTCAAGAGCAAAAATAACATGTTAAAATTGGTAAGACTTTTTTTCAAAGCATCACCTGATACAGTTTGTTTTCAGGGATTGAGGTTTTTTTCCTATTTATAGTAATTTGGTTTTAATAATAGTTTTTCAGTGCCACGATTGTTTTTATAAGCACCTGTGTATGGCCCTCATTCAGCAAGGTATCTATATGGAAAAATAGTCCTGTTCAAGTCCTAAAGGTTTCTGCAGAATAGACTTTGGATTGGTTTTGGTTTTTAGACATCATCTGACTTGGCAAAGCATTTTTCAATTGTCCACTAAACCTACAAAATTAACATGGTATGAAATAAGTTATTCAAAATCCTGTTAAGTGCTTAAAATGTAATTGTAAATGGCAAACCATTCTCACATGGATATTTTTCTAGTGAGGTCCTGAATTGCTACCATGCCAGTAGAATTACTCCCAGAATTACTGCTGATAAACCTGGCAGATGAGTCATAGAATTTAAGGGTGGAAAATACTACAAAGAAAGTCATCAATACAAAAAGACTGGCATGCTGAGGGCACTTAAAGGACACCAAGGACATTCACATAGAAACATTCATTTAAGGTAATTTGTCTGGGAACAAAACCTGTAGTCCTGCTCATGGCATAATTTCTGTCCTGTGAAACAGTGATTCTAGAAAGCTTCCAGATCATGGCCACTAGCCAGTTGAAGATTTAGAGCCCACTGTGTCCTTTCGGCTAAGCATAGCCAGTATCCTTAGCCAAGGCAATATCAAGTAGGAGTGAAGAGGTTGTCTGATCTGTGTTCTTAGCGCTGATGCAAGCACTACTGGGATATTTCAAACAGTTCCTGCATTCACATGCTGAAAAGAACATTGTGAAATTGAAAATGATATGAATATCATAAATTTAAAGTAGCTTAAGAAGAAAGTGATTTGATCACAGTTTATAAGTAACTACTTCTGGGAAGCAGAAGTTTGAGAGCAGAGGACTACTCATTCAAAAGGAGAAGAATCTGGTAAGATCGACTGGAAGTTGACATTAGGGACATGCAGCATAGAAATAAAGGTGCAAGTTGTTGACAGTGGTGGTCATTGGCTAGTGGAGTTGTCTGTTACCAAAAATCTCTAAATTCAAATTGGATATATTGCCAAAAAAGGTATTGGAGCAGCTACTGGAATTCAGGGACTTCTGATGGCTTTAGTTTAGGAAAAGATTAGATTAACACAGAGTTCCTCTCTGACTTCAAATCTGTTAATACTGTGCTGAATCAAGGCATGTATGTTTACACACCGGAGTCACCCCAGTTAGAGAGAAGAGACTGCAGGTCTTTGCCAAGTGTACTGTCAAAATATCTCAGATAGCAGAGCCACCTTCACTTCCCTAGAATATCAGTCTTCGACCTTGGCCAAGCCATCAGGGGATATTCCAGTATTCTTTTCTCAGAGCTGGCACCTTTTGCTCAAGTGAGCTGATCATTTAAGACATGAAACTGCACAAATTTACTTTTTGTTGTTGTTAAAAATAGCTCCCTGAGGAGTAACATTTAATAGCCCAGGACTCACTGCTCAGTTAATGGCCACTCAGCCTCCAGGTGAATGAGACTAATTTTTTAACGTTACCAAGGTTAGGCTAGCCCAGTAATTAAGGTAATCAGTTACAGATGATCTCTGTTTTTCATCTGTTACTGTATATAAAACTTCCTGAGACTCAAAGGATGGATTTTCACAATGAAGAATTTGTTGCCAACAATGGATATGCCTTGATTTTCTTGTCCATTCACACTGGCATATTTTTAGTTTTGCAGTTAGAGATGGCATCAGTTGACTTTGGCTGACGTGTTCATCCTTCAGGAAAAAAAAAAAAGGAACCAATGCTGAAATTATGTATGATAAAGTCAGCTGAGTGTTTATCTTAATCCTTTATCTCTTGTGGCTTTTGAAGCAATGCAGCATACAGCCGGAGAACGATGCCTGAAACCACTTTGGATTAAACAGAGGATCAGTCAACCATTGCACAATACTTATTACCATGTTTACTTAGCTTTAATTTAACTGGGGTCCATCTGTGCTGCACTGCTTAATGTCAGTGAGATTCCTTTCAGCTCGCTATATTTAAGAAGTTTGTAAAGTGACTTGAGAAGCAAAATAATGTTATAATTGTAAAGACTAGTTAAAGAAAGCTTCTTTTATCAGAACTTTTTTAGCTTGCAGAAAGTCCTAAAGGCTTTGTGTCTTATTTTTATAAGCATGTTTGAAATATTTGGATCGGATATTTTAAACTTGAAATTGTTAAAATTCATTTAATAGATTTTTAAAGTAAAATGTGTAAATATAGAACTGTATTTATTATTACAGTGAAATGCAACCATAGTAAAGGACATGAGATTAAGCCCTGTACAGTTTCATATTGATATTTGCTATATTTCCTGCTCATATATATTACTAAATTCATTATCTGTAAATAATATAATGTAAATGTGTAGTGATTGTAAATAGGTGACATGCTTTCTTTTCTATCAGTGTTCCAAATGTATCTAAGTTGTAATAAAACGTGACTACACAGTAAAGAGCGTTTAATCAGGACCTAACACCTCACAAAATGGTGTGCATCCTCAATTAAAATTAATCCTTCCCAAATTACTGTAATACTTATGCTAACTTCCCTAGATGTCCGAAATTCTTGGTGAAGTATGAATTACAGGTTGCGTGCTCTCATTAGGTGCCCAAAGAGCAAAAAAAAAAAAAAAAAAAGAGTAGCGTTTCATTTTGAGACAAAGTCTTTTACCAAAACTTCACTCACAGACCCTTATGAAGAGCTCCTGCTCCCTGTGCACGCTGTCCGTACCTCAGTGCCGACCTCTCCACAATTGCCACGTGCGAGACGGGCACCGCCGGCTGTGTGACAAGGATGTGCATCCGGGCAGGCGATGAAGGCGCCTGAGTTACCAACAGGATTCAGACCACATTGGACCACATGAGAGATGAGGTTCGGTCACACCTGGCTGCTGCTTCTGGTGAGGCAGCAAATTCTCCCACATGCTTCCTTATTTTCTCTCCAGTCCCTTGTGTGGCAGACGAAGCGGGTCAGGGGATTACCAAACAGCTGGCAAAGTTCATCTGATACACGGCAGAGAGGCGGTAGCACCATCACGTATGAAATGCACAGGATGCAAATGCTAAGGGCAAATGAAAGGTGGGGTCTAAAACGTGGGACTTGGCAAGAGCCAGGTTGCTCTGGCTGCACCAGAAGTTGCAGCTTAGCTGAATTAAAGACAAGCAGCAGCCAAGCACGGTCATGTCATCACCTGGGCATCAAGGACAGGCGAGACAGTGGCTGCATTCCTGTTAGGAGGGACTGCAGCACAGGACAGTTATATGTGCTTGGTTTTTTTACAGTTTGTGATTGTAGGTCATTTCTGTGAAGTACCTGAAAGAAAGAGGTAAAATACCAATGAAGTCAAAGCTCTGAGAAAGCAATTGTTTATTCGGGAATTCACTCCATATGGTAAGTAACAAATTACAAATATTAAAAAAAGGAAAGTAAAATAATCCCTGATGTAAATTGATTTTAGCAGGGAGTGTGTGGGTTCTCAGTGTAGATGAGGAGGCTGGAGTGGATGGGGTCATTTCAGCCAGAAGGGCCAGTGGAGAAGAAGTAGTAATTTTGGCAGGTGAGTTTCAGAATAGTCTTGTTGAGGTGGGATAGACCCAGCAGTGTATGGGGATGAGAAAGGTGTTAATTATCTTTAGGAGGAGAAAAACAGAAGCGTGACAAAGATAGCATAGAGGAGTACATAGGCCAGGGAGGAGATAGGGGTTCAAGAGACAGGACGCAAACAGGGGCAGAGTTTTATGGGATGTTAAGAAAGGTGGTGGAGTTTTGTGAAGGATGAAGAGCACAGAGTGGATGCAAAAGGATGGAAGTAGTGTGGTGGCTGAGGAGATTGAAATGGCAAGAAAACAGGCAGTAAAGATGCTTTCACATGCACTTATTTGCACCAGACAGCGTAAGCAATATTAGAGCTAAGGGCCATAAGGGAGGAGAATGAAATTGTGTTATTTGAGGAGGGAAATACTAGGGCTTGAACATAGAAGGGAAATAGAATAACTACAAATGAAGAATGGGTCGGTTAGTGAAAGCCTCAGTGCAGAAGGGACAGAGAGGCATAAAAGTTACACATCTTCGTATGTGGAAGAAAGAGTTTTATTAATTTATGTACCCAATAGTGAGCAGTAGTGCCTGAGGTCACAACTTCGGTGTTCTGAGCAATGTACTATCATACAGGTGACTTCTCTCTTAAAGCCCTCCCGCCACAGACATGTAGTGTTATCTGCAATAACAACTGCAGGGGAGTTTACTGCAGGCTCATGTGATGGGTTATTTAGGTAGAGCAGACACAGCACACAACCCGCTCACTACTCTGGCACACTGGATACATTACTGAGCTTTGTCTGGGAACTTGGTCCTCAGGGAAGCTGAAGATACGTGAATGGCCAAGGAAAAAGAGCAAGTCAGAGGTACAAGTAAAAGCCATAAAGAAGACGGGATCACCTGTAAGGAAAACGGATGGGGATAAAAGCCAAACCTTAGCAGACACTAGCAGAGAAGCACGACGAATGATGCTGCACAAGAAATACTGCATCAGCTGGGTATGCGGCTTCAGATCTCATTCCCAAAACAGGAGAGAACATTTAAGCTCCATACTTGCTTTCTGCCTTAGTGGCCT